TGCCAGTGGCTTTTGGTCATACTCCACTGCTTCTTCTCACACCCAACAGCTGATCCCATGGACCAGCTGGGTGGAAAGACCGATAAGGCTTAGCACACAGAATGGATAACTCAGCAGAGTGACTCTGAGCCGCCCTGACCTTCTTCAACTGCCTCCTCGCCTTCCTCCCCCACCCCTCAGCTTCCAGAGGCACTCAAGTCTTAAGGTTAGGGAAAATACTAGCAAGAGCTTTAGATCTGTGCTTTAGCTATTCAAACTGCTTCACACTCACAACCCCGGGGGACACGTTCACTGGCCCCCTGTGATGAAGCCAAGGCACGTAGTACAGCACTTGACAAAAAGTCACAAAGAATGTTATTGGGAATGCAGGGCCAGAACCACTGACTTGTAACCTTAGGTCAGTGATCACTCCTTCTTCAAGCAAACACTGTGGCAATCTCATACTGTCGGGCACCATCCCAGGCCCAGCGTGTCTCCTGGAGTAGGGCCTCTGAAGACTCCTGGGAAAACTCCTAGGTCTAAATGATCTTTCCACTGCAAATTGTCCCAGGCTGAATCTGCTGGACCCTGTGACCTGCACATGTAAGTGGTGGCCATGGGAACTAAAGATTTATAACAGGGTCTCTGGAAAATCACTTAAAAGCAACTGAAAAAGCAGAATCCAGCCATAACATGGCTGGGATGATTTAATCCTGTGTCATTTCCCATTAAAAAGTTCTAAAGTATAGCCTTTATTTTACAATCTAATTTGCCCATGATACCATGACCGTAGAGGACACTGTACATTTACTTTTGTTTCTGTTGGCAGTTAGAAGTGGAACGAATATCTACGTAAGGAGATTCTTTACTACATGCTGGCGAATGAAAGGTGCTTGCAGGAGAATATGTCGAAAAACAGAAATATATCATATTTTTTGTGATACTGTGAATCTGTGCTGCATATCAAAGGACGATTTACCTAAACTGTCATAGTTGTATCTGAGGCTCCCACAGATTCCCTCTGGGGACCCAGACCCTTTCTCAGAGGCACCATCCCATTAAAACAATGGCTTTAGCCTCTCTGTTTTCGTGTCTGCTGTTTTTCTTTAAGGGCTTTCATTGTGCCTCCTATGAAATAATCTCTTAGTTAAATTCCCTGTCTTCTTCATTTTTATTTTTTTTCCATCACCTCTGTGGCCAATCAATGTGGCTCATGGTCTCAGGTCTCACAGAGTCTCCTATGAAAACAATATTTACTGCTACCTCCTGCTGCTTCTGCACAGAACTCAGACAGATGCCTATGAGGACTGAAGGAGAAGAGATACTATTCTGTGGAGTCCATGTTCCTCTCTCCTTCCAGGAATTTTTGCAAAAATTGCTCCCTTCATGTCCATCCCCTTCTCCACATACAACTGAACTTATTGTGCCAGTAGATTAAGGCCAATATCAGCCCTGCAACTCTGCACAAAGAACTCAGTTCTGTGTATGTAATAATATGTATGCTGCAATCCATCTGCCTGTTGGGATGCATTTCAAAGCGAGATACGAACATCAGTACACTTGTTCCTAAATGCTTCAGAATGATATTATTGATATTACTTAGAGTTTAATAGTTTCTTTTAATATTATTTTTTTAGAAATAAAATTTACATACAATGAAGTGCAAAGATCTTGGGAGGACCATTATAAGAGCTTTGACAAATGCATTTACATATGCAATTTAAATCTTATCAAGATCTCAAACATTTATATCACTCCAGAAAGTTCCCTAATTCCCCTTCCTACTTGATATCCGCCACCAATTTTGTATTTTCTGAGCAGCAACTGCTATTATGTTTTGCATTAACCATGGTTAAGTTTGCCTAGTCTAGAACTTTACATGTATGATATCATTAAAGTACATACTGTCTTGTGTAAGGATTTTACCTTCACTTAGATGACATTTTTATGTTTTCCATGATGATACTTATACCTATAGTCCATCACTTTTTATCGTTATGTGTCGCACTGCACGGCGGCTAGACGGGGTGCGCCGCCGCAGGGGAGCACAGCAGGGAGCACAGCAGAGAGCACGGCGCTCCCTGACCCTGAGGGAGACCGTGGTCGGGGGCGGGGGGCCCAGCTGCGGTGGGAGCAGAGCTCTGAGTCCTGCAGAGCTTCTCCACGGATGAGGGGGATAAACACAAAACGTCGCAAACACTTCTCTGCTGGGAGAGCAGACAGGGCACTTCCCTTTCACCAGAGAAGGCCGTGGCACATCCCTCTAGTGAGGAAGGCCCCGTTGCCCTTTGTTCCAAGGCTTTTATTGAAAATCTTATCAGTGGGCTAGGCAACAGGAACGTGTAGGTTATCTCATTACATCAGTATGGTCAGTTTCACAGAGAATATATGATATTTTTAAGAAGACAAGTGACAGGAGTACACTGATTCACATGTGTTCGAGAAGAGACTGGAATCAACAATAGAGGCTACAGATAAGGGGAAAGTAGACTTAAAGGCGCCTTAAAGATATAGGGTAAGGGGTGTAAATAATGTAAATGTCCTAACGATATAGGGTAAGGGGTTAAATAAAGGTCCTTCGCAGCATGAGCTGACCAGAGATCTGAGGGAGGAACAAAGCACACTCTAAAGAATTTACTTTTAGGCCTGATTACCCCGGGACCCACCAGATCTGACTTAGGGCTGTTTTTCCTGCACTGTTTCAAGCCTGAGCCAGGCAGGGGGAGGGAGCCACCAAGGGATAAGGAGACTGCTTCTTGGTTGCAATGAGGACTCTGGCCATGTCCAAGCCAAGCCGAGAGGTGCAGGGGCCTTTTTGCCCCTTCTCCGTGTCCCCCAATTTCTTGTCTGCTGCCAATACTGACTAGGACCTGTCTTAGGTTGTTTACCTCAGCGCGAGGTAATCTACCTGTCATTGGCCACCAGTCCTCCATGGCAAAGCTGAGCCAGGGGACAGGCCAAGTCTCTTCAGGAGCCTGCTTCTCCAAGACCTCCTGATTATTTCCAGCCTTGGGGCCCTCCAGCCTGTCGGCAGGGTTACAGCTCCTGAAACCAGGCAGGGTGTTTCCCAACAGCTATGTAGTATTTTATTGTATGATTTCACTGCAGATTGTTTATCTATTCTTGTATCGAGGCACATCCGAGGTGTTTCCACATTTTTGGCCATTGCAATAAAGCTTCAATGAACATTCTTGTACATATAATTTTGTGAAAATAAGCTTTTATAGAAATAAAAAAGCTTATTTCTCTTGGGTCAATACCTATAGTGGAATTTCTCAGACATAGGTTAGTTATATGTTAGTTTTCTTTTTAAATGACTTTACGGATCTATAATTCACATTCTATAACACTATAAAATTCACCCTTTTAAATAAAATGTGTAATTCAGTGGTTTTCAGTATATTCACAGAATTGTGCAAGCATTACTGCAATTAATTTCAGAATATTTTCCTTATCAACCCCCAAAGAAACTGTAGCAATTACTCCCTGTATTAATGTGCTGGGGCTGCCACCACATAGTAGCACAAACCAGGTGGCTTAGACAATGGCCATTTAGTGCACCATTATTCTGAAGGCTATAAAGTGTAAGAGCAAGATGCCAGCAGGGTCGGTTCTTTCCGACAGCTGTGAGGGAGAGTCTGTTTCCTGCATGGCACCCAGCTCCTGGTGGTTTTCTGGCATTCCTCAGTTTATGGGAGCAACACCCCCGTTTCTATCGTCTTCACATGGTGTTCTCCTAGTTTGCACGTGCTGTGTCCAAATTTTTCCTTTGTATAAGAACATCAGTCATACTGGATTAGGGAACATCTTAATGACCTCATCCTAACACCTGCAACAACCTTACTTTTAAGTAAGATTACATTTTGAGAACCTGGGGGTTAAAATGTCAACATATGTTTCTTGGGGGCACACAACTCAGTCTCTAACAGTCTGCCCTATAGTTCCCTGAAATTCATGGCATCTTCACATATAAAATATAGTCACCTCATCCCAACATACCCCGAAGCCATTATTCATTTCACCATTCACTTTCCTGTCCAAAATCTCACCTAAATGTCATCTGAAGTAAGGATAGGTGAGACTTGGGGTATGGTTTATCCTAAGGCAAAATTACTCTCCAGCTGCGAACTTGTGAAACTAGACAAAACGTTATCTGCTTCCAAAATACAATGGTGTAAAGGTATAGGACAGACAAAGAGAGAAATTAAAAGGGAGAGAGTAGTCATGGGAGGCGAGCGAGAACCCACCTCGTCACAGCGAGCGTCGCAGGGTCAGGCTCAGTCAAGGCTAGAGCCTTGCGCTCACTGGCGTGGCTCAGGTGGTTGGAGCGTGGCCCCACAAAGTGAAAGGCCACCGCTTTGATTCCCGGTTGGGGCACATGCCTGTGTTTCAGGCTCTGTCGCTGGTTGGGGGTGTGTATGCGAGGCAACCGATTAATGTTTCTCTCTCACATTGGTTGTTTCTCCCCTGGCCCCCTCTCCCTTCCCCTCCCTGTAAAAATAAATAAATAAAATATTTAAAAAAAAGACTCGAGCCAGCCTGCAGTTAAGCCCTGCCTATGTGTCTGTGTGAGAGGTACACAAGGCCATCAGGCGGCCCAGGCAGATCTCTTCCTCTGCATATGGGAGGATCAAAGAAAAGGTAAGTGGGGAGCTGAAGGGGTGGTAAAGCCTAGGGGTAAAAAGACGGCTTTATAATTTGAAGGCTCTATGAATAATTAAGACATCTTTTCTACAAGTAAAGAGGTAAATAGACACTGAGAAGGGCACGGATGTCACTTTGTAGTGAAAAAATATATTCTAAATTGTTTTCAGGAGAAGCTTAGCTGTTTTTAGGATGGCTGCAGCCCAGCTTTTAAAATCCAAAATCGTAAGACCCTGAAGGCTTATAAAAATGCTAAAACCCGACAATTGTAGGCACATCGCAGTGTCACAGTTGACTCTAAATTCCTTGGCTGTGTGAAGGATCACGGGGGCTGGTCAAGGACTTTCAGGTTAATTGGCGTTCACCGGCTTCTCCTGTCAGGGCTCAGGGTTTCCTTTGACACAGCACTCCAGCTGAAACACACAGTAGGCAACTAACATTTCACTCTCATAGCACTCAAGTCTGCAGGTGCCATTTCCGTAGCATTTCTTGTGCATTTCTGATGATATTGGATTCAGGCCTGGAAAGAATGAATGGAAAGATAATTTACCACTGGCCTTTTTGAACGATAAAATGACGAATCCCTCCATTTTTTTTTTTTTAATCACACTGGATTCCATGGAGACTAGATAAAAATGATTGCTTCTAATTGATTCTGATTGAAAAATATTAGCTTGTTTTATGGATTGAATTGCAGCCTCCCCCCCAACCCCCCAATTTATATGTTGAAACCTTGGTCCTTAGCGTGACTGTGTTTGGAGATAGGAACTTTAGGAGGTTAATTAAAGTTAAATGAGGTCTTAAGAGTGAGGCCCTTAAGGCATTAGGATTGATGGCTTAAATTAATAGATTAATAGGATTTCTGGCCTTATTGGTGGCCACAGAAATAAGATGGCTGTCTATAAGCCAGAGATATAACTCTTGTCAGAAGCCAAATCAACCTTCACTTGATCTTGGACTTTCTGGCTTCTAGACCTGTGAGAAAATAAACATTATTTAAGCCATGCAGTGTGTAGAGTTTTGTTATGGCAGTCTGAGCTGACCAACACAATTGGCAACTTGGAAGCTTGCTCGACTGGTCAGTTAATATACTTGAAACAATCAAGTTTTTATACAGCCAGGTACTGTTGGGCTGCAGATATGAGTGTGATATGGAACTTCATCTCAAAGAGTTTTTAGTCTAGACAAAAAGAGAAGAAACACAAAATACCTGAAAGAGAAGAAAACATCTAAAGTCCAGTGAAACATTTGCAACATGGAATAGTGTTGTGAGTTCAGAGAGGGGTGAAATCAGTTTTGAAGATTCGGGATTTCTTATTAGAGCCCAAGGCATTTGAGCTGAGCTTACAGCTTTGTAGACATGCTTCTCCATAGAATCATCAACATATGAATGTTTCATTATGTTCATATGTAAGAGGGTGTAAAAAGGACCAGAGTGTCAATGTTGGCCATTTGTAGATATTTTGAGCCGACACATACCCTATTTAAGTCATCATGCCCTGGAGGATAATTGTCCTTTAGGGAAAAAAAGAAGAGGTCAGGATTACTTAGCTGGCAAGATGGAAAGCCAAGAAGAGGAAGTGTAATGGTACACATATGAGATGAGACTAACTATGGGAATGTATATGACACTAAACAGAATATTGTAGACTGTATGCAGTTGTTGACTGTCCAGAGACCATAATCCATTGCCATAAACCATAGTGGAATCGGCCCAATCAACACCTTTAGGAGGCCTGGATCCTACGGATTCTTAAATCTAGCCTATGGAGTCACATGATCTGAAAATCGGATTCATTTGCCTAGAAAATATTTCAGGGAGGGTGAGAAATTAAATGGGACCCTATAGCATATGTATTTGAATTGATTCAATAACACTGAGTGAAGAGAGTATTCAAGATGAGATGATGAGATTCTAAAGTCAGAACATGATGCCAGTCAGTATTCTCCCTCATGTCTCTCTAGCTGTTATCTCGTCTAATCAGACATTTCTTGTGTCACATAAAGCTCATTTTTTCTCTTGGAACAGATAGTTCTAAATCCGTTCCACCATGTACCTAAGGAATCTACAAATAATAACCCTATCTGTTGGTTTTGGCTAGTACAACTAGATATGTTCCTGAATTAAAGATAAAATAGTGGAAAAACAGAACGGGGTAAGCTAATAAAAAAATATAATGATACTTCTCATAAGTCAGGTGTTATACATATTATATATAGACATATTCTATACATTGTTCCATTTAATTTTGGCAGAACTCTGAGGTTCGCGATATTATTTATGTATTTGTAAGTGAAGAGACTAAGATCCAGAGAACCTTAGACTTTTGCCTGCAGCAGTATAGCTAATCATTTGGGGAGCCAAGATTCAAGCTCAGACCTTGCTGACATCAAAGCAGCTTGATGCTCTTTCCACTTTGAAAATTAAAGGGTCCATGGTGGCGGCGGGCGGCGGGCGGGGGGCATTCACAGGTTTGGTTAGTGGAGTTGCTCTGCTAGACAAAGGGTGCCCCTCAGGGAGATTTACATTTTACCTGCCAGCACTGGGTTCCAAAAGATGAGAAAGACAAATACAATGAGAGGTTTCATGGCTAGATCTTCAATCGAGGAAGCTGGCAGCAGGTTCTGATCTTGGCTGTCAGAGAGCAGAGAAGGAAGGCTGGACACACCCTCCGGGACAAAGCGCTCAGCCTGGGGTATGCCCTGCTCCAGGTGGATATGCTACACCTATCTCCCCTGAGGCAGCTGAGCTGGCGGTGCTTATAGGAGGGAGAAGTTGACAGCTGTTTCCTGTCCGACAGCTTTTCCTTTTGACAAAGGCGCTGGTCCCCAAACCTGAGGCTTTTCCAAAAGCACCAATAGAGACTTGAAAACTACAGACATTTTCTTTTTTTAAAAAAATAAATGAAATTTATTTTGCTTGGTCTTTATGTTACAACAAAAATTAAATGCTAGTTTTAGAAAATTTAGAAAATATTAAAAATTACAGGGAAAGGAAGGTTAAACTTGAGCCCTTCCTCCTAGGTGCAATGTGTGTGTTTCTTAAGAAAGTTTTATTTATGTCTCATTTATTGCACAATAAATTTGTTGCTTAGTTAGAACCACCTAATATACTTGTAATTAGGTATCCTGCTTTTGTAAAATATAAACCAAAAGTATTTTCTGTGTCATTATAAGCTCTTCAAGTAGTATTTTTCATAGCTGCAGAATATTCTCTGAAGGACATCTTAAAAATAACTGTCACTCTGTAAAATCGTCTTCACTGAGACATAAATCACAAAACGCCTGCAAATATTACAGTATACAAGTTGGTAAGTGTGGACACATATTTGCTTTTTTGAAGCCATCATCACACTCAAGATAATGAAAATAGTGTATCATCCCCCCACAACTACTCTTCATGAGTTTTTCCTCCCCAGCTCTAGTGAGGTATAATTAAAAAAAATAAAAATTGTCCATGTGCAAGGAATAAAATGTGATGACTTGAGGTAGGTACACAGTGTGAAATGATGATCACAATCAAGCCAATTAACGCATCCCCCACCTCCACTAGTCTTATTTAACTTGGGGTAGTGAGCACACAATGTAATATATAGACCATGTATCACAGAAATGCACACTTGAAACCTATATAATCTTATTAACCGATGCTATTCCAATAAATTTAAAGATAAATAAAAGTAAAGTAGATGAAAATAAAGAAGTATGCTGTGTTAACTTCCCAGAGCTGCCATAATAAACTACCACAAACTTGGTGGCTTAAACAATAGAAACATATTGTCTCAGAGTTCTGGAGGTGAGAAGTCTGAGATCAAGGTTTTGGCTGTATTGTTTCCTTCTGAAAGTTGTGAGGAAGCACCTGTTCTGTGCCTTCCAGCTTCCGGTGGTTTGTGGTGTACCTTTCCCCTCAGAAAGAGAGAAACAAGGAGCAGGCTTCTGCATCTCAAGACTATGTTCTCTTAGGTGCTGGCAGGAACTCTTGGATTCAGATTTTATGATTGATTTTGGAGAATAGAGTTGAATTAAGGGCATGGTTTCCTTCCTAAACCAAGTCTTGAATAAGGTAGAGGCAGAAGGAGAGTATAGGAGTGAATAAAGGAGAACAGCTTAACTTGTGATGGGTCACTGCTTCTCTCTCCAGTGCTGGGATTTCTATAATGGGAGAAGAGGGACATGGGACAAGGTAATGGAGGACACAGACACCGGGCCATGTCTGTGAGCACTGCGCACCAGTGTCCCTAGGTAAGCGGAGCTCAGAGAGGGGGCAAGAGCACAGCTTAGTGTTGATTGCATGGTTCTCTCTAGTAGGATCACAGCATTGGTTCCCTTTCTTCCACAAGGCTTCCCAGGCAAGAGAAGCGAGCAGTAGCATAATCCCTGAATGGCAGAGATCAACATGGAATCAGTGAAGTCATGATCCCATCTGAATTTCTGGAATGATGTTTGAGTAGCAGAATTACTTTATGCACGAAGGAATGAGCTTCACCCAAAGAGTTTTAAGAATTTTAGTAAGAGTAAGAGACAACTCAGCGGTTGGACCTTGACTAGTGACAGAAGACCAAGTTAGGAGGATGTCTAAATCGAGGCTCTTCCAGATGCCTCACCACTGCTCGACGCTATGTTTCAGTTTCTGTGACCTGGCAGAATGAGGTTCATGATAGGAATTAAGTTCACTTATTACAAAAATAAAGTTATGCCTTTTGCAAATGTTCCTGCTGGCCTGATATTCATATCCCTTTATGCTCCAAAACCTCTTCATTGTCTTTCCCACACTCCCAGCCTACTTTCTCTCTGGTCTCTAGCTTAGTGAGTTATATTGTTAACCACCTCTTTGCCAGCTTTGAAATCTCAAGATCACCTTTTATATCTTCTTCTCATTCTATATATGGCCATTAAATTCTGTCAATTCTCCTTCTAAATCCATCTGACTCTCTTCTTTCTTCTTAGTCCTCACTACCAGTGTTTTAATCCTGGATTACCAAAATATGATAATGTTGCATAAATATTTGTGTTTATATGAGACTGTATTATCTCAGACACAGAAAATATAACTTATTTTCAAAACCACAGGAAATTTGAACAAGTATCAATTTTATCTTAGATCACAAAGAATGACTTAATAAATTCCAAAATGCTGTAAGATCACACTTTCTGGTCCATGAAATTATAATGAACATATATAGAGCTTACATTGGGGTCAAGTACTGATTAAAAGTTTATGTATAACCCTGACTGGTATGGCTCAGTGGGTTGGGCATCGTCCTGCAAACCAAAAGGCCACCAGTTCTATTCCCAGTCAGGGCACGTGCTTGAGTTGCAGCCAGATTCCCTGTTAGGGGGCTGTGGAGTGGTCCCTGGTTCAGGGCATATGGGAGGCGACTGATTCATGCTTCTCTTTCACATCGATGTTTCTCTCCCTCTCTTTCCCTCTCCCTTCCCCTCGCTCTAAAAATAAATAAAGAAAATCTTTTAAAAAAGAATTTATATATTAACGCATATAATCCTAATAAAACCATATTATCCCATTTCATAAATAAGGAAACTGATGTAGAGAAGGACTAAAGAATTTGCCTAAAGTTATAAAGTTAATAAGGGGTGGGGCTGGGGTATAATATTATTGATGGAACAACAATGTGGTTGTGGATGTTGATGGAGGAAATTAATGTACCAGTGCACACATGAAAATAGAGTATAAACCTTTATAAAATTTATGGTTACTTTAACCTGACCATCTCAACATAATTATCATAAATTTCCATTATCCACCACATTCATTATTTTTATTAGACAAGGTGATCTCATTCATTTTTGGTTTATTTTCTTGGAGTCTGAAGAAGATGGAGTTGGCTTTTTCACCATTTCCTCCTTTTCTTAACCTCAATTTGCTTCACTCTGCAGCAGATGCTCCAGTCCGCACAGTATCTAACTGCATATTCATCAGCATTGCACTTCATTCTGCATTGGTAGTCTACCGAAGAACACCTGTCATTAAAAAACATGCTTCTGGCTTTGAAAAGAGAAAACATTATTTGTATTATGTTACTTATTTGTACATTTCAATGCTGAAAGTGTTTTATAATAAATGAAAACAGCAACAATGAAGAATTTGCTCAATAAAAATAACAAAAAGGATTGCAGTAGAGAAAAGTAGAGATATTGAATAAAGATAAATGAGTATTTCTTCTATGAGAGAGTAGATATATGAAGCAGTAGCTGAAAAGGGGAAGGGTTTTTGATGAGAACTACTACAGCAGATTTCTGTCTCAAATGAAATATCCATTTATGGGTGAGGGTTAATGATACAAGAAAGAATGTTTAATTTCAAGAGTGACATTCTTTAAAAGTGAGTGGGGATAAAATTCAGTGCATAAAAAAAACGGTTACCTTAAATCAGAGACTTAAGAGGAGGCAGAACAAGCTAAAAGTAGAAGGTTTATGGTCTTTGGAAAGATAGAGAACTTATCTTTTGTTCCCTTTACTTTCTTGGTTTATTTAAAAAATCACCAGTTGAGAATGAGAAGGGGACAGAGGGAGCTGAGTTTTGGTTTCAATTTTCCTATGTCTCCTTCACTGAGGATATTTCTGAGATCTGCACAGGATCCCACAAGCCGTAACCTCTCACTTTGGTTCCCAGATCTATCTCTGTCTCTCATCAAAGGAGAGGTCAAAAGAAAGTTCATTGCATCCCGGGCATGGGTTGGTGGGCACCAGGTGAATGTTGAGGTGAGCTTATCTCCAGAGAGCTTAGGGCCTCAGTTAAGAAAGATATGGCACTTTGACAAATGCCTTTCCTTAAAAGACCACAGAGAAAAAAAAATCAGATAGTTATCAAGATATTAAAGTACAAATTGTCACAGCAGAAGGAGCAAGGCATTAATTTAAAATGAGATAGTACATTGGACCTAGAAATTGTTGAGTTTTATTGAACATAGATGTTCAGAAAGGGACCCAATGCTCCGAAAATAATTTATAATTAAGTATCTGTTTATAAAATGACATGATAAAGAGGTTGAAAAGGCAAACCATAAACAGAAAATATTTGTGAAGCAATAAAACACTTGCATCCAGAATTTATAATGAAACCCTACAGATCACTAAGAAAATAACAAATAACCAATGGGATCATGGGCACAGTACTTGAAAGGTTCTTGTAGAACAGACACTGAAATGGTCATCTAACAAATGCAAATATCCTCAATCTTGTTTGTAATCTATACATTTAAATGTAAACTACATTCAGTAACTATTATACAAATGCTTGAATGGCTGTAATTTAACAGCCTGATCAGATAAACTGTTGGTAGGGATGTGGACCATTGAGAGTTGTTCTACACTGCTGAAGAGAGTGTAAATTTGTTTAGTTATTTGGGAAACTGGCATTATTTCATATGCCCTATGATAAATACTTTCATTCCAATATATACACAATAATTATGTATTCACATATACAAAAAGAATCATTCAATGAAAATTTTTAGTAGTAATAGTCTCATAGCAGCCCAAACCTAGAAAGAGCCTAAATGTTCATCAGTGCTAAAATGAATAAATACATTCTTATTTCTGGCATATTTCTCTGATGGAGTATTATACAGAAATAAAAATTAATGAACTATCGTTGCACATAGCAACATAGTTTAATTTCATAAATATAATACTATGGAGTGAAGTAAGCTAGATACGAAATTATTACTAAACAGTTTCATTCATATAAATTCTAAAGCAATATGACAAAACTAACAGTAGGATATAGATATATACCATGTGTTTAGGTGCCAGAGTCCTGAGGCTGTTTGGTTGTCTACTGCTCTTCTAGATATCCTCAGCACAAAAACATCTCTATGAGTCAAAGCCAATAGTATTGTTCTCCATTTCTTTTCCAGTGATTAGTTTGGGGTGTATGTAACCCATTTGGGGAGAACTTGTGGAAGAGTGCTCCCTGCTGATATAAGAAGAAATGCGTCCCTTTTACTCTGGTTTAACTTGGTGGGTCTGGCTACGATGTCTAGAACAATGGGAGCTTCTTCAGACCACGAGAGGAGCTAGTTAAGGATAAATCTGGCACTTCTCTGGCAGTGATGAGGTGGATGATCTGATTCATTAACCAGTTTCAGAATTGTTTAATCTTTGGGCTTCTTGTTATGTGTTATAATACATTTTCTTCATTGTTTAAGTCAATTGAGTTTGAGTAGTTCGTAACTTGAAACTGAAAACATACTGTTATACTATGTTTAACATACTATAACAAGCATGTCTATAGCATACTATAGCAAGCATGTCCAGGAAATTTTTTTTTTTTAAAAACAACCCATAGAATGGGAGAGAATATTTGCAAACTTATACCTGATAAAGTTTTAGTGTCTAGAATATGTAAAAAACTGACAACTCAATAATAAAAGACAACCTAATTAAAAATGAGTAAATAAGCTTGAATAAATATTTCTACAAAGAAGATATACAAGTGGCCAATAAACACGTGAAAAGATGCTCAAAGCTGTTAATGTTGTAAATTAACTGCAAAGTAAAATGTAAATTAAAACTATAATGAGGTATGACTTTCTACCAACTAGGATGGCTTATAATAAAAAAAGACAGATAATAGCAAGTGTTGGTGAGTATGTGGAGAATTTGGAACCCTTTTGCGTTGCTGGTGGGATTGTAAAATGAAGCGTGCAGCTGTGGAACACTGTTGGCAGTTCCTCAGAAAGTTAACATAGAGTTACCTGTGTAACACAGCAATTCTGTTCCCACCTATATACCCAAGAGAACTGGGAATATATCTGCACTAAAACTTGGATATAAATGTTCAAAGCAGTCTCATTCATAATAGTCCCAAAGTAGAGACAATCCAAATGTCCATCAATGGTAAGTGTCTAAATAAAGGGTAGTGTATTTATTTACTAGAATACTATTTGTCAGTTGCTACAACTTGGGTGAACTTTAAAAAACATTATGCTAAGTGAGAGAAAACAGATACAAAGAGCCACATATTACATGATTATATTAAGTGTCCAGAAAAAGTAAATTGGTAGAGACACAAAGCGGATCAGTGGTTGCCAGGGTCTGAGGGGAGAGGAGAGGAGGCTGGGGAATGACTGTTAATGGGCATGGAGTTTCTTTCCATGTTCTGCTGAGGAAATGTTCTGGAATTAGATAGTGGGGACGGTTGCATAACTTTATGAATATACAGAAAACCACTGAAATGGTGCACTTAGAAGAGTGAATTTTATCTCAAAAAATATATTAAAAAAACAAGAATAATGAAGAAAATTTTGAATTGCCAGGTATTAAAATGTTCTCCAAGGTACTATATGCATCAGAAAAGATAAATAAGTCAATAGACAATAATATAAACCCCAGTTATATGTCCAAAGATTAATACGTATTTATTATATAGTATTGGTGGATTTTAAAATGAATCTGGGAAAGTTGGATTGGTTATTTAATAAATATGCTTGCGTATTTGGTTATTTGCTTAGGTGTTTGGTGGAATCTTGACTCCCCCACAACACAAGGTCATTTCCACTTTAGGTCTTTACCCCTTACCTAGAGGAGTGATCAGAATGTTCTGTGAACCACAGGTTATGCTAGAGTGGCCTCCTCTTTACCCCTGGCCATTCTTCTAATCACCACTCTGTTTCCATTTTTTCAATTCCTCTCCTTTTTTGGTGTGTGTATGTTCTGTGAACATCTTTCTACTATCTACTATCTTTCTACCGTCTTGAGTTAGATTTCATAATAGGTTAGACCACTGAAAGGCACCACCTTATGGATGTTGTAGCATCAACTTCCCCTTCCTGTGAGCAGCCAATGGCCTCCTCTCACACTCTTCCTTGTACGGCACCACCTGCCCTTGTCTAATTTATTTTCAAACACTTGGAAGACCTTGCATTCTCTTTCATTTATTTTCATAACTCTGGTAACAAAGGTTTCCATCTTACCTGGAGGAACTGTGGAAAACAAGGCAAGGATTCCAAGGATGCAAAGCAAGACCCTCATGGTTGAATAAATGACTTAGAATCAGTAGCCGGGATGAGGAGACTCCTTTATATACTTAGTACTCAGGAGGTGAGTTGCTGTCTGACTATTGAACCTTTCGGTAGCAAGAATGTTTCTGTGTTCCAATGAGCTTTCATATCAGGAGACAGCATGCAAAGAACATGACTACTAGTTATTCAAAGTGAGTACATTTGTTAAATATTGACAGGGTGTGGGCAATGACAGTAGGGCGCACCCCACTTACAGAGAAAGGGTGGCCATGGTGAAGGCAGGAGAGGTATTTTGTTGAAAAGTCATTGTTTTATGGTCGTTGGAGGACCTGTAAAGGGCAATGTGACATTTATAGAGTAAAAGTATTCACTTTATTTCCCCAATACTAGGAAGAGAAGCACTGGATATAAGAGCATGCCTACGTACAGAATTTTGGGGAACGTACATTAGCAGACTTGAGCAATAAAATTATGTTCGAAACCATACACCAGTTAGGGAGACAGAGAAAGGCTTTTGTTTAATTCTCCCTCTGTACAGCCAACTGAATAAAACCAATTAATTTTTATATCTAAAGTTCGAGTGACGCAAATTGTTTACATGTCACAGCCACATACAATGTGAGAAGAACAAAAAGGAAAAAAGGAAGCATGGGCCTTAGATGAACTTTGGAAAACAAATAATATGGAAAGAACAAGGGCAATTCCACATGAGCACGTGTCTGACAAAGGAGCACAAATTACTTCATAGATACTAAGGAAATGAACACGAAGGGACATGTAGCCTAGGGAGTCCCTAAAGAAGACATGGGTACGAATGCCAAATTTTGAAGCTGCCAAGTGCATTCCCATTCATGATCTTATTTGATATTCATATCCTCTTAGATGATCTTATACAAGGTGAAATAACTTTTCTCAGTATCATGAAGGAAGCTTCTTTCTGCCATGGCTTCCCCTGAGAGGTGGTTTTTCTTCCTCAGCGTTGCAGTGAGTGGAACAAGCAGTTACGTTATTTGAGTAGCTCTTCCCTGGCTGAGCCTTGGTAGATGGTATCTATGGCTGACTCAAGGCTGGGGGATTGGTGGAGGATTATGGTATCATTATCAGAAGTCCTGAAAGAGGCAAACCTCCCAAACCTCACATTGGCCCTAAGGAAGGCCAGCGACGCTGCTGAGTGCTGCGGGGACGACTCTTCTCAAGCCTGGGTTCAGGTTTTTTCTCCTCCAAAGTTGCTGGGACAGGTGGTACCTGGGAACGAGACTCTCCCAGCACCATAAAAACTCACAGGGATTCTTAGGGTCACTGGGGTGAGTGCTGGTTATTGCTGGCTGCTCCATTTACTTAAACGTGACTGGTTTGGAATCTTCAGCATCTCTGATCATGAATCCAAAATTCACTGATTTTTCTCACGTGCTTTGGAGTTGTTGCCTTCTTGATCATGAAGAAAAGCTTTGGAAGTATAGTTTACATTGCAAAGCAATCAAATTTATGAACACAACCCCCTTAGTGAACACTGAGGCAGAATGTTTAGTGATGCTTTGGCATTTTCTATAAACATTTGTTTTCCATGCAGACATATCTGGAGCCAGAAGGTGAGCTCAGAAGCTTGCCAGCAGAGCCCAAGAACATTGTGTGATCCATGAGCCGGCAAGCCGGGACATCAAAGGGTCAGAAGGTGGTTCATTGTATCCCGGGCATGGGTTGGTGGGCACCAGGTGAATGTTGAAAGGTAGCTTATCTCCAGAGAGCTTAGGGCCTCAGTTAAGGAAGATATGGCACTTTGACAAATGCCTTTCCTTAAAAAGACCACAGAGAAAAAAAAAAAAATCAGATAGTTATCAAGTTATCAAAGTACAAATTGTCACAGCAGAAGGGGCAAGGCATTCATTCACAATGAGGTAGGGAGTTAGACCTAGACATTACTGGGCTTTATTGAACATAGCTCTCTGGAAAGGGACTAGATACTCAGAAAATAATTTATAATCAAGAGTCATTATCTACTTTTCTTCCTTTTAATCAGTAGTATTACAGTATCAGTAGTATTGACAGCTTCGGAGTCCTTGCAGCTTCAGTTATTTTTTTTTTCTTCTTGTTGCTTCAGTCTTTCCAAATTTATTATTCTTTACCTTCAGTCTGTAAACATCCTCAAGTTCCTGTACTTTGAAAACAAAACATAAAATTACCTTCCTTGTCTTCAGTTTGTTTTATGTAGAACCCTAACTTTTTCCCTTTCCTCTCAGAAAAATAACAGTATATATTCTGTTTCTAGTTCTTTCCATTTACTCCTTAACCTTATAAGTTTCTGACATCTTCCCTCATCTTTCTATTGAATATACTTTTGCTAAATCACTAATAACTTTTTTCTGTATAAAAACAAACAAAACCATGTATACATGTATACACATAGGTACTTATATACTATATGCATATTTTCTTTTATTCTGATTCCTAAATAATATATTTTTACTTTAAAATTGGAAAACTCATAAAATTAATTTAATAATAAATGTAATATAGTATTCTACTACTTAAAAGATTATTACTATTTGGGTTTATTTCTTTTCCACTAAAATAACAGGTAGAGGAGAGTTAAAAATTATAGAATATTTTAAACTTCCTAATACTGAATATTTGAATAAAATGGACACTTAGCAAAACACAAGTCAGTAAGGTTGGTGAATAAAATAAATATTCAAACAGTCAAAATCCTGTCCTTTCATATTCAGAAGTGCTAGAGTGAGCTAGATTTTATGCACAACCTCCAAGAAAGAATTTTTATTTTATGACAATAACTTAGAGGACAGAATAAACTAGATAGCCACTCAACACATTTTATGAAATAGAATAACCACAATATAGAAATGTCACAGGGGCAATATATCAGCTACATATCACAGCATAACAAAACCCCCAAAATGTAGTTGCTTAAACCAACAAACATTTACTGTCTCGCAGTTTCTGTGGGTCAGGAATCTGAGTGTGACTTCACTGGGCACTTTGGCTCCAGGTATCCCATGAGATTTGCAGCCGGGGCGGGTCTTCCAAACTCCCAGGCTTGTTGGCAGGCCCCAGTCCCTCGCCACGCGGGCCCCTCTCTGTAACTACATCATGACATGGCTGCTGGCTTGCCCAAGAGCAAGAGATCTGAGAAAGAGTGAGAGAATATACCCCAAACAAAAGCCATTGCCTTTTTATAAGCCAATTGTGTAAAATGGCATCTTATTGCATGTGATGTACTCTTATTGGTTCATTATGCCTCAGCCAATAAGTCCTGCCACACTTGGGGGGACAGGTTTGCACATTAATGGGAGCCAGGGGCAGGGATAATTGTGGATTTACCTTAGGAGCCACTTACCACAGACGGCCAAAACCGAAAGAGCCCACTTAACTTATGAATGCAGATATAAATGCTATAGAGACTATTATCAAATCGAATTGAATTTCAAAGTAAAAGATGAATACATAGTGAGCAAACAGTATTTATCTGGGAATGAAAGTTTGGGCCACCATTTAATACACTAAATTATTTCAATTTTTTGAGCACTTAATATGTGCTTGGTACTGTCTTAAGCCCTGGGAATGCAGTTGTGAACAAAATTCCTGTCTTTATGGATTATATATTGTAATGATGGAGAATACTTCATAACAATTTTGGAGAAAATACCTGTGTGATAACAGTAAAAAAAAGATAGTTTTCACAAATTAGGAATAAAAAGTGGTTAATGGCATTGTCTTAGTTTTACTTTTGATGCAAAATGTCTTTGATGAGGATTTTCGTGCCTGTCATTTTTTTAGGGAGGTGATCCTAATATCTATCAGAAGAGTGGAGACTCTAACATGATTGTAGTAGACCCTTGCAAGTGATGTCAGTTGAAGGACGAGGAAGCTGGGATATTTACCCACGTGCCTCCTTATACGTCACTGACTGAGTGCTGCTTCCAGAGGCACTAATACAATCCTCCTGGCACACTGTAGTTCCTCAAAAGCCCTGAGGAGGAGGGTCACAGGTCCTCAGATGCAGCATCCCTCTGTGCGTAGAGAAGAGCTGAGAAAGAAGAGCAGGGCAGCAACAGTGCGTGCTGACGCCCATCCCTGGCACTCCTCAGATTCTCTCATGCCCCGTGTTCAACTTAGTCCATCTTGTCCCCGATAGTTTAAGACTGTGGCTAGTTATGATTCAAAAAATAGTTAAGGAACTAGGGTTAGGAATTTTTACAGGCCTTGCTACTTGCCGTTGGTCTTGAGGCCAAAGCAGATATGCGTCATTTTTCCTCTTTATTATTCTAGATGCCCTTCACCCTTGGACAGCACTTCTGTTGACCTATGCTTGCTCTGTGCTGTAAACCAGACCCCAGTTCCTCTGATGTCTGAGCCCCTGGTTACTGTGTCCTCGTCACGCAATGATTATTGAAATTATTAATTGGTGGTCATCACTGGGCATGATGGAATAACAAGAAGGCACACCATGGAAATCCCTAAGGTTTTATTTTCCCTCTTTATATAGTAGCAACTCTACCTTCCCATGATAATTAGGACCAATTAACCCTACTAATGTAGTAATTTTTTGTTGTTGTTACTTAGTCTTCTGGTATCAGGAGTTCAACACAACCTGATGGCACTCGTAGCATTACGTTTGGCAGAACCCTTATTGTGCCCCCTGGTAGAAGCAGCTCCACAGTAAAAACCTAAAACTTTGGTCCAGCGGAACCTAAAGATGTGGGGATAGAAAACACAAATTCCCCACGTGAGTCCTAGGAGTGACCGGAGGGGACAATCTTACATCCGTATCTTGTTTTTCAGAGCCTTGTATACTAGTTACTGGGAATACAGAACCATGTGCTGCCCAGTGGTTTAAAACATGCCTTACATATTTAAAGACAGTGCCTGCGACACTGATAGGACACCTTCAAGATAGTTCCTTCATCTTTAACGATCTTATATGATATTTTGTTCTTCCTTAGGACTGGCCATTCTTTTTTAAAAATTTTAAATAAAACAAATTTTTTTAGAGAG